ATATTGAATTATTGTCCAGCCGTATATTAACATAATTGTGTGTATTTGACGGTTCATGCACAATAAGCAGTGAAGGAGATCTGAATTCGCGATCGCATGCTGAGCCGCTTTCTGTGCGCGCACTTCGGGTGTGTGATAGTGAGTGAGTACTGCACGGAGTTGTTTTTCGGGGTTTATTATGCTGAACTCTTTGTAACATCAAGCACTTTATTTTCTCATTCATGCATATTTCCTATTCACTATAAATTGTTGATCAGTTTAAGCGTCCTGCGCTGCGCGGATATATAAAGTTTGCCACGGCCAGTGTGCATGCAGGGAGTGGAAGAACAACGCTGCACGCATGCTGAACTCAGGAAGTGCGGCTCTTATTAAAACACTGCCATTCTTAAAGTACCGGTTCTAGTAAAATGAGGAATCATACTTTTTTTTTTAAAGCAGGGTATTGCGATACCTTTGTAGTACTGGTATGTCCTGCAACACTAATTAGCAGTGCTAAAGCTAAAGCGTCAACCGGCTCATTGTCATTCTGAGTGTCTTGTTCATTAAGAAGTACACACTAGCTCTGCGGCTCGAGCATCACGCCAGAAAGCGCAGCAGAGGTGTCGCTCGGTGTGGAAATCAAACAGGAAAGCGGCGCCATTAGGAGCTCCGTGCTGTGTTTGATTGGCTAATCAAAACCGCCTCAAATAGGCTTTATTAACAGCAGAAGTAATCAGTGCTGATTGGATAAACATTTGACTTGAGAGACAGAATGTGAGTGAGAAGAGAGGAAAAATATGAGAAAATAAAGCGGAAAGGTGCAGGCGGTGCTCTGGGGTAATGAATGCGAGCGCTGCCTCACGGCGGGACTGAGCTTCATCTGTTTAGCATGAGACGCTAGCCCAGATTTACAGCCGTGATTAGCCACATTCACTCAAGCGCATTAAACTTCCGCCCAGCGCGTTTCCTCCGAGCGCCATATGGCAGAACTGATTATAGCGCTGGCCTGATGAGAGGACGAGCCTCGCTGCGGCTCCGAGGGACGGTGTGAGCAGTCAGGAATCTGCAGGAGGCTTTAGCAGCGCGAGCGAACGATAACGCTTGTGCTTTCATATGCAGCAGAAGCAGATCTGACTGTCTGTCGGAAACATCCGGATCCTGAGCAAATCCACCAGATGAAGATGATTGAGATCTAAGAACATGATGCTTTATGAAACATTTGTTAAATACAGTAGCGGCTCCTGACCGTAAATTTAGGTGGGGCAGATTCTGGGTCGTAGCGCTAATATATGAAAAACATTTTGTAAGCTTTATATTCTAATCTCTGAACACATGGGGACAACATTTTGGCAGAGATGTCCTTGCGTTATCCTGTGGGTGGCGCGCTAATGTTGATTAACAGGCACGAAGTAATGTTACACGCATAAAATGCTGTATAATAATTGCCTTAATGTAGTATTTATCAGCTCCAAATGTTGATTTAGAATGTTACAAGTTGTGGAGAAAGAAGATCATATGTCTATTCTCAGAATAAACAAAACAAACACAACAGAACCATATAAAGGCTATTCATGTGAGCACATTTAAACTAAAGGATAATTTGTTAATTTGATCCACTACTCCACATAGAAAACAAAAGCTCGGGAGGTCTCAGGCACCGTCTGCCCCGCTTAGTATCATGTATACATGCCTGCTAAAGCCATGCGCGGGATTTTAATATATACTGCTTACTTTACGACTTAAAATAGTCTAGAAAATCCGAAAAATATTTGTTGCAGAATGCTGAACACATATTGATTCAGTTTATATAGAGGTCTATGTTGTGGATGAATATTTTGTTGGGGCTCTGCCTCACCTGCCCATATAGACGCAATATTACCCGTGTTACTGAGTTTGATTTTTGAGTGAATTTCCAGGGCTGTGGAGAAACAGTGGCGTTTCTCCATAAACACATAAAATCAGGAACCGTGTCTTTTTCTGTGTAGTCAAGCGGTTGAATTTAGATTGCAAATATTGTATTTTGAAAATGTCAAATGAAAAATACTCCCAGTATCAAAATCGTGTCTTGACTCCCATAAATATAAAAATCAAACATCTTCAGCAGTAAGCAGGGACGTTTCAGGCCCCCATCAAAAAAGAGCCCATATTCTGATACTCTTTTAATGCTGATTTGGATATAAATACCTGTCGTTCACAAGCTGCATGTGCAATAAAGAGACGCTTCATCACAGGAAAATGATAGAAGACATTTGCCAGCTTTGTTCCCGACGCTGGATTGTAGGTAAATATCCAGCTACTCCAGCGCTCTTTTTGTTTTCGGTCTTGTGAAATATCCTGTTATTTCGGTGTGAAAAACCAATCCAGTGCATAAATGAACTGTCTGAATGAATTTGCCAAACCCGTTTGATTAGATCAGCAGAGTGATTCATTAATGAATCTGGCATCTCTAGTTTCAGATGGAAACACACACACTTGAGAAAATAAACGTCCATTGACACTTAAGGATTTATCAGGAATATTTCAGTGAAGCTTGTGGCTAGCGATGCCCTGGCCTTGTCAGTATGAAATTGAGATAAATAAGTGAGCTTGGTGTCACGTTCTCGTAGAGCAAATATTTGAGAGCAGCATCTCTCGCCAGAGATGAACAGATGCAGGAGGTTAAATGTTTAGCTGTCCGAAAGCGCCATGTTCCTCTGCTGCTGGACGACAGATCGCCGTTAGCACAAAACACACAATTTTAATTAATTAGCATGTATGTTAAGCACAGACCTAAACATGCATATCATTAGCTTGAGGCTAAACCCACAGGCGTAATGCTGAGAAAGTGTTTCACTATTTATCTGCATTCATGTGATTCTTTTTTAATGGTTTCGTCTGTATGTAGGCGGCATGCAAATGTGTTTTCCTGTTCTCTATGAATTATTTGTTGCATTATTGAGACACTGTTTTCCTGTTTAACACTGTGAGACTGCTTTGACACGATCTGTATTGTATAAAGCACTATAGAAATAGAGGTGCCTTGAAGTGACTGCTGTGAGGATAAGAGCTGCACATGATTGAACCTGACCTGAGATCAGCATTTCTCAGGTGTCACACGCAGGCCGTTTATCCTACAGATCCCACAGCTGACCTCAGATCAGTGTATGTTGAGGAAACCGCAGCGATCCCACCCAAACGCACTGGAGTTTGAGTGCAGATAACGGCGCGTGTCAGGCCCTGCTCGCACCCTCGTCCCCTGTGTAGTGCCCTAGAGCGTCTTATCAGCGCTGTGATGAGAGTCTTATCAGCGCTGTGTTGTGTGCAGTGTTACGCCTCTCCTCCATTTCTCTGACAGGAAGTGATGCGTTGTGCTGGAGCTCAGGGTTTATAGCGGCGTCAGCACAGCGGGAACACAATGCATTATAGGCATCAGTTCATGATCGTGTGTCAGGATCTACTGAAGGCCTGTTGAAGGAACACAAACACTTTAATTTTTTTGTGAATGTTATTGTACTAATTATATTTAAAGAATTTATAATACTGTGGTACAACAAACAGGGTTTCTGTGGGTCTTTCATCAGAGCAGAAGTCTTAAATTCATTAAGTCACGACATTACATTTTGCATGAAGTATCCTTAAATCAAGATACAAAAGATCATCAAAAAGTGATGGAAGTAGTATTTTCAAAATTTGTGTTCTCCTTAGACATTTACATTAGAGACATTATTGATTCCCTTTCATTTATTCCTTCAATTTTCTTTAATTGGTCGTAAAAAAGTCTTAAAGTCTTACTTTACCTTCCTAACACTGCAGAACTGCAGAAAGGGCAGTCTCGGAGGGAGCGAGTCAACTCATCTGTACACTCAAGGCATCTCCATATCCCACAATGCAACACGATTGTGACGTCACAGCAGATCACACTTCACTTACACCAACACCGCTCTAGTGTTTGAGATTAACCACATAATACGTGCAGCTACCTTAAGATGAGTTTTTACACAGTCAGAGTTAATTGTATTGTTGTTATTTTTCATCCGGAGGGAGGACGTTAGCGAGGAAAGAGCATTCAAATCAGAAGTGGTCATCACTTCATCTCTTTCTTTCTCTCTGTGGATTTCATTGCTTCCCATCAGACAGGGTTATAGAAATTATCCAGGAAAGAGGAGCAGCTCATTTAACACACGTTAATATTTTGTGACAACATGCAACACTTCTGGAATGCGTGTGGAGCTCTAGTGCAGCGCGCCTGTCCTCTGTTTAAATGTCACTCAGTTGCACAAGGATCAGAGGAAGAGAACAGGCACAACACACCTTTGCTTCCAGGCCCTGTGTGACTTCAGCTCCCAGAATGCAATCTGTCAGAGTTTGTGACGAGCAGCAGCTGATGCGGTCACACTAATGCTGCTGTCTGCGTCTCTCTCGCTCACTGCAGCCAAACGCTGTTGTCTCAGCTCTAGATGTGAAGCTGAATTGAATATATAAGTGTGTCCAGGTTTATCCACATTACACACAGTATATAGAGCAATATACACTTTATAGCAAATCTCAACCGCTTGATTGCTTCTATATTGTCGCAAAATGTAAACCATATTATCACCCAGCTAAATGTGACCATAAGACACGAAGAAATTAACGTCATGATTTTGTGTAAAGCTGCTTTGAAACAATGTGTGAAAAGTGCTTTACAAATCGATTTGACTTGAGTAGAGTCTCTACACTCGACTGTTTAACAATGACACATGCTATTAATGTAAAAACAGATTGAACACCAAACCTCTGACATATTGATCTGATCACTGCAGACTGAAGGTCATTGATTGACTGGTGATCAATAATGAGAAGCTAACTCTATATAGACAATGCAGCTCATTTACTCATGTGCCACGATAATGTCTTTGAAAGGCTTCCACTAGAGTGCTTTTCTCTATATGTGGTTTAATTGATTAATTAATTGGCACACGTCATTAATTCGATTGGCAGCTGGTGTGCTGAAGCTCGTTAGAGTCACGCTCATATCAGTCACGTTCTCCCGCTCCCGTTAATACTTCCGGTCTCATCAGTTTTCCGTCAGTCTCTCATCGATCAGTCCGTCTGAGACCCGGCAGCTGAATTAGAGCCGGTTCAGACCAGCGTCCAGCCGCTCTAATAAGGTGCAGATTTGAGGCTCTTGGTGTGCGGGAGGCAAATTGCTTTCTGACACTTTAGTTAAGTTGGTTATACAGAATCATATAATGCAGACGGTTTGGGTTGAATTGCCTTTTGCTGACGGTCTGTGTGTGTTCGTTCTCTCTCACAGACTCGCATGGAAATCGCTTCATGGCACACTGGGGAAAACTGTGCATTTTAAAGTAAGAACAGTAGATTTCTCTGGTCCACTTTCAATCTTATTCTTGTTCAGAACCATTTCTGGAAGACTGTCTCTGTTGAAATGGATGGCAGCAGTTCACTTTGTTTTCTCATGATGTACGAAATCATTTTACCTGGAGTCCCAGAAATTAGACTTGAATGAATCCGAATCTGCTGAAGCTCATACACCGTGTCAGATGCAGTGAGTAGTTTAGCAGTGTTGCTGTGTTAGTCTGGATCGGTTGAGTTTCTGTTTCAGCCCGAGGAGGAAGAGAGCTTCTGGCTGCTCACTGGAGCACTGGCTCGGCTCTTTGTAAAGCTGCATATATTGTGAACGGCACTATATAGACCAGGGCTGTCCAAACTGGGTCCTGGAGGGCCGGTGTCCTGCAGAGTTTAGCTCTAACTTGCCTCAACACCTGCTGGAAGTTTCTATGCCTAGAGCTTGATCAGCTGGTTCAGGTGTTTTTAAATTAGGGTTGGAGCTAAACTCTGCAGGACACCGGCCCTCCAGGACCGAGTTTGGACAGCCCTGATATAGACACTGAGGCGAACAGGCTTGAAATGACGTGAAGTCAGACAGAGTTCAGCTCTAACACATGCAGCACGTGCAACATTCAGATCTCTGGGGAGTTTAAATGAATGTCAGTTTTAACTGTGTGAATGCCACGCCAGATGCCTGTTCTAGGAGGTTTTATTTTTAATGAGGTGATATTTAAACGAAGCTAAAGAAGTGACATGGTGGTGTTACAGCTGCTTCTCGTGTGTTTGACAGAGGAATGATTACAGACAGACACACAGCCGAGAATTACAGAAAACATGACGTTAATTAATAAGCATCAATTTGCTAAACGATGCTTCTGTTCATATGATGCTGTATGACAGACACACAAATTCAGATATGTATTGACAAAATTATGCACATACTGCCAACGCATCTGTGTTTAATTAAACTGGCGTAAAAATAAAATGGCGCAAAACTACATAAATTAAAAGGAAAACTGAATAATTAAATAAAAAAATCGCCTCTCAGCAGAAATGCAGCACAACGGGGTTAAGGGTCAGAGGTCAACACAACACTATGGCCTCTGAAATGTGTGAAAGTGAAAAGTGTTTCCTGTGGAGGAGGAAGTGCACATGCACCTGATGTCAGTCACTGAAAGAACCAAAGCAGCTAACCAGAAAATGAGCCGCTAGATCATGTTTAACTTTCACATGCGCACACAAACATACCCAAGTGCAATCGCAAACATTAACACTCGTCTTAGTGCTGCTGACACCGTATTCAACAAGCACGTCTGGCCGACTCTCACACACTCTCTCTCTCTCTCTCTCTCTCTCTCTCACTCACTCACTCACTCACTCACTCACACACACACACACACACACGCTCTCTCTCTCTCACACACACACACACTCTCTCTCTCTCTCTCTCTCTCACACACACTCTCTCTCTCTCTCTCTCACACACACACACACACACACACTCACTCGGTGGTGTGACCCACGGGGCACGTGGATATTGAATAAGTGCTTTGCGGTTTCTGAAGTGGACATTATATATTCATACGCATGAAGAGGCTCATTATCATCATCTGACAATCACTGACGCTTTAATAAATGGCTTGGCATTAAACATGGCTCCGTGTTCTGCAAGATTTGTTCAGTGTGGTCGCTCAATATTAACATACCCGTTTGCAGCATTTATAATTCATTTTTACACTAAAAGAAAACTTTAGGATCTATTAGCTGAAATTCATATTGAACTCTGCTGTGTGCATGATCTCTGATATTTGAGGACACAATCTTTCAGAATAATATCACACCCACTTATATCTGATTGAAGAATATGATCAGCATATTGTGCCTGTCAATCAATTTGTGCACATCCGATTGGCTGAAATGACTTTGGGAAATGGGGTTTGGGGTAGAGGAGGTGTGGTTAAAGGGATGGGAGTGGTCTAATTCAGAGAAGATAGACATTTATATTTTACAGTTGTTCATGTGGCAGATGCTGTTATTCGCAGTGACTTACAGATGAGGAGGATCATGAGCAGTTAATGTTTGAGGAATTGTTCACCCCAAAGAAGGGCTGATCTGCTAAGCTGAGAAATCCGGTGGAGGAAGACGAGTGTTTAATAATGAGCGCTTCATGCCGGCATTTAAATTCTCTCTTCAGAAATAATGGGCAGATCTTATTGAAGGCCGACGGGTCAAGAGCAGCAATCAGCCTTTTCAGACAGCGACTCCATTTTGTTTCAGATGAGATTAGAGCAGCGCTGTAATATAAACATCAGTGTTCAACACAGATCTTCATTAAGATACATCAGCGTAATGAGAGACGATACAGTGTGTGGAACCACATCATGCTGGTTTCGTCTGGCCAGAGGAGAACTGGCCCCCGACTGAGCCTGGTTTCTCCCAAGGTTTATTCTCCATTCTGTCACGATGGAGTTCTGGTTCCTCTGGCTTGCTTAGTTGGGAACTCTTAATTTCTGGCAGTATTGACTTGATTGCACAGATACTATTGAAACTGAACTGAGCTGGATGATGACATCACTGAATCAATGATGAACTGACTTTAACTGAAAAATGACTCTGTTATTGTCCTCTTGCATTATTGACAAACTATTTTCTGTTTGACTCAGTAAAGCTGCTTTGACACAATCAGTACTGTATGAAGCGCTGTAGAAATAAAGGTGACTTGACTTGACAAACCGAGAATGAATTTGTCACCATACAGGTCATGCTGAGCATTTGTGTGTTCTCTTGTGTTTTTTTTGTTTTTTTTCTCAGAGCTTTGTGTTTTAAATCTGGTTCACACTAGCCCAACAAACGTCAGCATTTCAAACTTTCTGACGTTGACTGTGTGATTTAGCATGTAGCAGGTCATTTTCACACAGAACAGAAATGCCTGATCAGATCTGAAACACCACAGGCAGTTCCTGCTGTGCAGAGGTGTGGACGACCTCACAAACCTCAAATCTCAGTGTCTGCGCAGATGTTTGTCAATGAATATCCCTCTCAAAACTCTGTCTGGTTGTATTTAGTAAGGTTGTGTATGTTGCTGTAGCTAATCAAATGTTCCCTTTTGTCTTGTAGGCCCAGAGAATGCCGGAATCTGGAGGCCAGTAGACTGTTCCTGCCATGATTCCTCATGTAGGACGAGACAATTTGGAAGAACATGGGCAAATGAATCGCAGATAAAGACTCAACCATGACCATCACCTGTGGTCCACAGGACGCAAGATAGCTGCATCACGCCTCTCCGTCTCCTTTAGAAACATCAGCCTGAGGGAAACCTCAGTCCCAGGAATCACATTGCTTTGAAATCTCAATTGGAAGCCTTTCAAAGAAAACTTAAATTGGCAACCAAGCTGGGGATAAAAACAGCAATTCCCATCTATCCTTAATCACCACCTGCCTGCACCGACCAATGGAGAGACTACAGATAGAGTCTGGATAAAGTGGAGTCAGGCCAAGAAAGAGCGAGAAAACGAGTGAACAACGGACCGTCTGGCAGAAGGTACCTGTGCTGATCCGGCAGCTCTGGGAATTCAGCCCCTCTTCTCTGCGATCGTTCCCATCTCTCAGGCAAAGTCAAAGAGAAACTCTGCACTCTGAGACTGCTCTCTCAGCCTCTGCCGAGAGCAGGTTTTTGAGCTTGTATCATCAGGGTGGGTGAAATGAAGTCACGGTGTTGGTCCCCTCTCTGGCCCCTGTGGCCGATGCTGTTAGGCAGACTCTTTCTGTCAACCGGGGCCCTGGAGTTCGGCGGGGCCCCGGGGCAGTGGGCGCGTTACGCCCGCTGGGAGGCCGGCTCGATCGGGGAGCTCAGCTTTAGCCTGAAGACCAACGTGAGCAAGGCGCTGGTTCTGTACCTGGACGACGGCGGGAACTGTGACTTTCTGGAGCTGCTCATCGGCGGCGGACACCTGCAGCTGCGCTTCGCCATCCACTGCGCCGAGCCAGCCGCCCTCCAGATGGAGACCCGTGTCAGCGACGACCGCTGGCACATGGTGCTGCTCACCCGAAACTACCGCGAGACCATGCTGATGGTGGACGGGGAAACCAAAGTGGCGGAGGTGCGTTCCAAGCGCAAGGAGATGGCGGTCGTCAGCGACCTGTTCGTGGGGGGCATCCCGCCTGACGTCCGTCTGTCCGCGCTCACGTCCAGCACGGTCAAATACGAGCCTCCTTTCATGGGCTTGATCTCTAATCTGAAGGTGGGCGAGATGCCTCCCACTCTACTCAACAGCAACGGCATTCATAACGATCTGGAGTATCTGTGCATCAAGCAGAACCCCTGCCTCAACGGGGGATACTGCAGCGTCCAGTTTGGCGAGGTCTACTGCGACTGCTCTCACACACGCTTCCGAGGGAAATACTGCAAAGAAGGTAAGAGGCGACTGGGACTGGTTCTGCTTTTTGTGTTTACCAAGGTTTGGATGAATCCAGGGGAATTATTTTCAGATAAAGTGCCGTTTGTAGACTCACATTTAGCACTGTGTTTATGGTGTTTAATCTGACACATTCAGACTGTTGTAATGGTCATACTACAGAACCCTTTAACTCTTATAGACTGTAGTGCTGCTTGGATTGGACTTTCTCTGTCTCTTTGTTGCTGTTCTGAATGGACGCTTCTGGACATTTTGTGTTCGGCCCTTTAGACAGTTCAGGCTGTTCTAAGAGAGATGAATCACTGCTTCTTATATTTTGTTCTTTTCTAAAGCAAGTTTCATTCAATTCTCTCCCAATCGCTCGCTGTCTTCAGTTCCAGAAAGCAATTCAGTTTCTCGAGCGAGATCCATTTTATACTTGTCTACACTAGGGCTGTGCGATTAATCGAAATCGAATCGAAATCGCGATTTGAGACGTTGCGATTTCCTAATCGCAAAGCCTGCGATATGGACGCGATATTACTCTGTTCCAGAGCATATGCATGACTGCCAGCCTTGAGTTGCAGTCTTACTAACCAATAGAGTGAGCGCACCGCCGTTCTCTCCAATCAGCACTGCTCTAGCTAACTGAGTAAACACCCACCATTTAAAAAAACAAACAAAAAAAAAACAGAAAGCGGGAGAGAGACAGAGTGGGATTATGGCGTCTACTGGGTCAGATCGATAGTTAGGCAAATTAAAACTAAAGAAAAACGTATGCAACTTAAGCTTCGAAATGACAGACAACGAACAAAAAAGGTAATTTCCAAGAGCTGCGTCACAGCGCATATCAAAAGCTCCCGCATCGGTTCTGTTTTCAGTACTGGAGAATAAAAGATACATTCTTAGATGTTTTTGTTAGTACGTGAACGTTATCTTACACATTTTATCTCCCCAACAGATTAATTTGAAATAAGTTTATGATGCATGTTCGCTATTCCCAATTCAGAAGAGCGCACACACAGCCTGTGTCTCTGAATGCTTCTCATACTCGCTCCTCTCTGCCCCACGCGGCGCGAACCCCGCGTCACGGACGAGCCGTTCATGCTTGCCGCACTCACGCAGCCCATCTCGTAATGCTCGTTTATACTCGCACCCAGCTCCGCAAGTCTCCACGAGCGCATCTGGCAGTATGGTGGTGTCTATTTGATGGATTCTATTGGTGGGATGTAATCTGGCAGATGGCAACCAATAGAACAACAGTAATTCATTTTGGAATAATGCCCAAAACAAAAAGGAATTTTGTATTGGTTTAATGGAAACTATAAGAATTTCTGTGATAGTTTCTATTGTTTTTTTCAGCAGGGTAATGGTACCCATACTGTGCTGCACGTTATTGACAATATTGAGCTGAAGCTTGACTTTGCAAATTTAAAATCGCAAATCAAATCGCAATCGCAATATCTGTCAAAAAAATCGCAATTTGATATTTTCCCCCAAATCGCACAGCCCTAGTCTACACTCATCTGTTACTCTCTCCTCCAGACCCACTGCTTTTACTCTCTGCTCCTGTCTTCTGTCTCTCTATCTCTCCTCCTCCTCATCTCATCGGTTTTTCACCTATTATCTCAGCCAGTTCTTTATTTCTTTCTTTATTTTTTCTGTCTTTCTGTTGGTTACATTTCTGAATTATGGCTCCTTCACTATTTTAACTCTTTTCCACATTTAAGACCAATAGGGTCATTCTGTGTCAGCTCAACCAGTGGTTCCCGAGTCAAATTTTTGATTTTGTCAATATTTTCTCTGAAGAAAGATAAACGTATAGTAATGAAAGCCAAAATATTAAATGTCATTGATGTATATTTAATGACTAATCCACTATTTTGTGG